GCAAGTTCAGCAACGATCTAGTATTGATTGAGAAGCAGAATCACAGTGAGATCCGAGCACCATTGTTGCGTATATTCTCGGACAAGTTCGAGGGCTGAAGAGCACAAACAGGAAATGCAACAACGGCGACGAGTGAAGTAGAGAAATACACACAAGATTGTGCTCATTCGCAAACAATGGGATGAATTTTGTATTGTCGGAGGGAGACCGGAGAGGCTCTACATTAACACGGAGCTACTGAGCAGCTTCATCATGTCAGCTACCGACAACTAGAAATGAACTGATTGGCTAAGAAATGGCGCTAAGAGAAGCAATCACACATTCTGCGTAGAATCAAAGCAATTATATGCGAATGCATAATTTCAACAAACTATCTCCAGGATCAATGGTTTTTGAGAAACAGAGAGCAAACCAACAATCGGCAACCAAGCGGATGGCTGCAGCTCGGAACACACAGCCCCAACATCACACAACAAGGCGCCGTAATCTACAAAGCAGAGAGCAATGGCACTCCGCAGCAAAGTTGATCAACACACAGCTCCACGGCGGCAGCTCAGAGGGCCAGCGCCCTTCACCATGCGCTCCACCATTGAAGCGGGGCGAGCCGAGCAACTCACCGTCTTGGAGTAGCTCTGGGCGGACCACTTCATGGGCACGCTAGTGAAGAATGCGCCATCGAGGAACTTGTCCCCCTCGGATCGCCAATTCCAGTTCTTCGGGCCTCCCATTGTGGAGCCGCCGTCGTCGATGCGCTTCGTGACCTGCTTGGAACCCTTGTAGCTGTTGAAGACGTTACCCTGAGAGAGAATCGTGGGCCCTTCGCTTCCGGCGATGGCGTATATTCCCCACCCGGACGTGTAGTCGTTGTTGAGTACGTGCACGTTGCCGAATCGGACCCTTGGCAGCCGTTGAATGAGCCCAGGGCCGAATATATTGTACGCCACCGTCACATACATGTTCCTGTCTATGTAGTCTTGCGGGTGCGCGCCGAGGAGCATCACCTTGTTGTGCTGGGTGAAGTAGCAGTTGGTCACGGAGACGGCAGTGGAGCCCCTGACCACATCTACTAACCCGTCGGCGGCTCTGGCGAGATAGCAGTGGTCGACCCAAATGTTCTTGGAGGTGAAGATTGAGATGGCGTCTCCGTCGGCACGGCCGCGGTTGCCGACATGGCTAGTCGAGGTCATAATCCTAGCTGGTCCCGTGGGTTTGATGTCATGGATGGCGATTCCGTGAATGATGACGTTGCTAATGAACTGCAACGTAAAACCGGCTCCTCCGGCAATGTGGACGTCCACACCCCGACCATCGATAGTCTTGTAGCTTGTGATCATGAGCTCGTTCTTTAGCTTGATGGTCATGCTATACGCGAAGATAATCCAGAGTGGACCGGGACGCGTCACGGCATAACGGAGAGTTCCCGGAGAAGGGTTTGCGGGGTTGTCATCGCGGGAAGAAGTGACGACGTAGATTCTTCCGTTCCTGCCACCGATTGCGTTACGTCCGAATCCCACCGCGCAACTGGCGAGCCGTTGGCGGTTTGATGCCCAGTTGCGATCGCACCTCCAGCAATCGTCCACAGGGTTGCCGGTTTGGCAGGAGTGTCTCGCTGCGAAAGACGTCTCTTCCGTGTCCGAATCCCTGTAACATGTACACATTGTTTCTGTAAGCTCGACCTTGACCGCTCACTAACGGTGTGCACCTTTAAAAAAATACAATCATTTTTTAATCAAACACGCCTCATAGATTCCAACTTGGTAAATAAGCAACCACTCGGATGTTGTAGTGTGTGCTCACTCAGTAGTGAACTCCTTGTCATCGCCACCCTCGACCATGTCAAACCCGTCTGCGTCAGCCTTCGAGTCCGTAGAGTTAGATGGTCCCTCCGGCGCTGCTGGTTGGGTAGGAGACGGGATCACTGTATTGTCGTCATCAGCAGTTCCGACGAGATTGCCATTGCTCTCAGAAGCTAATGAATCCATGTCTCCACTCGATTCGTCGGCCACTGTCCATTCTGGTTTCCCTTCCTCGCTCTCCAATGCAGGGGCAGGAGAATCTATATTGGAGAAGGTATCATTTTGTTTCGCAAGGCTCGCGGACTGAGGTGTCGAATCGTCAGCAAACGTGAAGATCACTGGCTCGGTGGCGCCGACGGTGTCATCTTGGGACTGGACATACCCCAACCTTGCACACACCAACAGTAGCCCCAAAAGGGACAATGTCAACCGTACCATCTCCGATACTCGACACTCACAACGCGAAGGCGACAGACAACAGTGGCAGACGAACTGAAGCACACTACTGCGATTCGAAGGCTATCTGCACATTAAATTCGATTCTGTGTGTCTCGATCGCTGAGTGAGATGTCTGTAGATGGTCGGTGACACAATCAGCGGAGAAGTACCTGCAATTCTGAACGTCATAGTCCTCGAAAGCATATTTAGAGCAGAGGCTTCACATCTCAGGGGGATTGCAGCGGTCTGTTTATTTTGGATTTCCCCCCCCCCCCTATTTCTCTGTTGCAGGACGTGGAATCCCACAGGAGTTGTTCCTGAGCTGCATCGAAAGTCAGTCCCAAGCACCGGCTCCCAAAGACCGCCAGAACCATCCCGTCGCATGCTGCGGGCACATGCTGCAGCAACTTTTCATCCTCCAAATGCGCACCCAAATGCTCTACCGTGACGAAACAGTGCATCTAGCTTCCGCAACTAGCGACCCGCGTGGATGAGATTTGTTGTGGCCGATATTGATAGCATTATGATGGCTCCCGGTTTCCCTCCTTGGAACTTAAACTCTCACATGGCGCCCGGAGGCGGAGTAACATCGCCGACCTTGCCACCATTGTGAACGGTGCAAAGGCGGGTAATGTGCTCCCCCCTGGGTTCTGAAGAGAATTTCATCTCGCTGATTTCCTATTTTTCTCCACCCAGATATCCTCAGGTTCTTCTTTAATCTAGTTTTAACAACATTGTATCCGAATGAGTAAATGGAAAGCAAGGACTGACTAGCTAAACCTGGAGCTGGGTCCATAATAAGCCTGCCTCGGTTGCTATTCCCATTCCCTTCCGTCTGATTTCGTGTTCTCGTTCAAAGCCAGTGTCTGACTCCCAAAAGGAGCCATTTTGGAAGCAGCTCGTGAGGTGGGTGCCAGTGTGGATTCTGTCTGGGTTCAGAGGGTCTCATGCTCCCCTTCCCTCCTCCATCCTTCCCTTTTTCCTCTTCCCACCTCCGCATCTACGCGCTCATGCGCCATGACTCCGCCTCCGGTGCCGTCACCAGCACCTCCACTCTTCACATGACGTGGTGAAGCATGACAAGTAGAAAAGCTCTCGTGCTTGGGGAGGCTGTATTGCCCTACGGAACTTTACGGTAACTCATGTATTCAAGGATTTGGGCGGTCTTTATTTTTATTTTGATACAATTGAAGGATGCTTATTGCATTGATTGTAGAAGGAAGCAAAACTAAACATGACCGATACGTCCAAGAGTATAATTATGAGATTTGAACACATTTGTGTTGGGTGAACATCCATTAGGGTTTCATTGGGGTTCATTTGTTTTATTCATCCATAAGGATTACAACAATTAGGATTTTATCCATCTTTTGATGAATGAACTAAAGACATTATACATTCATCTTAAATAGAATTATATTAAACAAGATACATTATACATTTATATTATATTATATATTCTATTTTTATACCAACATAATATCAAAGCAAGTACTTGAGAGTATATTATAGATTTTGTTTTGAATAGACAAAGTTGTTCAAGAAAAGTAAAAAATTCTTTGTTATTTCTTTCTCACACATCTATAAATGAGAGGTATGGACCCAATAATAAGAAACATTCTTAAAGATATGAAGTCAAAAGGAGCATCTAATTATATATTATGGAGCTGCAGAATTCAAATGATTTTGATGCAAGAAAACCTATAGTAACTAATCAAGTCATCTTCATGCAATTTCATTAACATAGATGAATCCATAGCAACTTAATATGTAGTAGCAATTGCACCTACAATATCTTATACAAGAAGACAAGGTCCAAATATCCATAATATAATACCACATTAAACAACAACCAAAAATACAACATTGACTTCTATTCTTTAAGATTATATTAGATCTTATTGTATTATTACATATATGATATGAAAGTCTATCATTTTTCATGTAATTGATATTCTTGAACCTTGGACAATTTAGAAATAACTTCAAATATTCTATAATATATAAAACTTGAATAAGAAGCTAGTATTGAAAAAAAAAAATGTATTCTCTATAAGTACTAAAAAAAAAAGACTTAAGAGAATATTTGCAAAAAATTAATTTTCTTCTTAACAATTAGCTAAAATAGACATGTCAATATGCAATAACGATGTTGCTTCGACATTGAATGGTTTACCAAAGAATTGGTCTACATTTAAGCAAATTCAAAAGAACAAAATAAAATTACATATAATTTCCAAATTAGAAGTTTTTTGATTACAAAAGTAAGTCACTTGTTAATTTGAAAAGACAAGAGATGATGAAAAAGAAGTTTCACACATAAGACAATAATTTTAAAGAAGCTATACACTCAAAAGACAAAGATTGTACTAATGTTTTAGCAGATGTTAACTTGGCAATTATCATTAAGAAAGAAGAAAAAATTATCATCAAACTATAATAAAAAAGTAATATAATTAAAGCTAAACAAGGATCAAAATAACACATCACTTGTTACAAATGTAACAAACTTAGATATTTTTTGCAAAAATATGATGTAATAAGTCTTAAAAATTAAATATAATAAATATAACTTCAATTGTAAAAAATAAGAAAAAAAATATTATATGGATATAGTGAAAGATAACAAAGATGATATATATAGAATAGTCCCTTTGATTGAGACAATAATTGAAGAATGTTAAGATGCATTTAATTCTAAAAGAAAGTAGTTCTTGGACTTTGGAACAAGTTTAGATGTGATTGATAATAAATAATTATTAAAAATCAAAATAAAATATCTAATATTTAAAAAAATTAGAAGACAACCTATACTTATAATTAGACTAAGAAATATACACTTTAAATTTTTCTTTAAAGAAATAAAAATAAATGAATAATATTTTAATATTTTAAGAGTAAAAACTAACTTCTTTTGAGTTGGAAGATTTGTGGATTTAGATCATATTATATTATTTGTATCTAAACATTGTTATATGTTTAACAAAGTGAATCTAATAGAGATTTAATTACAAATTGGTCAAGTAAAAATAATAAACTATATTAAAGAAAAGATAAATAGCCTTTATTTAATTGCTTTATTTTCAAAAATTGATGAAGAAATAGTTCAAATAGTCAACAACAATACAAAAAAAATATATTTTCTTTGAATAATTTAAAAGTATCTAAAAAAAATATTAGACTTTGATATAAGAAATTTGATCACATTGATTACCAATTTTTTTATTGATAATTTAACCATAGATTAGTTGATGTAGTTCTATAATACTATTGTAGAAAGATATATATACATGTTAAGCATATGAAAAAATTTAAAAAGAAAATTTTTCAAAAATAAATTAGATTTATTTCAAGATAATTTGAAATCATTTATATTTCTTATAAGGTATTAAAAATGTGAGACCTATTAATAGATCTTAATTAGTAGATTTTTTAAAAATATAAGTTTAAATTATTTTAATTATTTAAGTATAAAATATAGATTGAAATTATTTTAGTTATTTAAGTAGAAAATATAGGTTTAAATTTAGATATAAAAATTAAATATTAGAAATTCTATTTAATTATTCAAGTATTTATTAGAATTTAGAAGGATTTATAAATTATAATAGTCTTATTAGAAAAATAAATCTTTATAAATCTTAGTTAATTTAGTATTTGTCTATTAAGACTAATGTCTAAATTGGAATTTTGCCTATACATATTATTTATAAAAAAAACTTGTAAATATTAATTAGTAGTTAGAAGAAGCATGATAAAGAATCTTAGGTCATTTTAGTTATTTAAGTAGAAAATAGGATTTTACTTGATTTAATTTGATTACTATAAAAATATTCTAAGATAGAAAAAAGTATCTTTAAATTGGTATTACTATTATATAAATATTTTAAAGATATTTAAAATTTATTTAGAATTTAAATATAATATTTTAGGAAATTTTAGGAAATTTTAGAAGACTTTTGTAATAATGATTTTTTCCACTTTGGGAGGCCATTATGAAGAAATTAAGCAATATTTGAAGCCTCCATAAGATTGTAATGCTAATTGAGTGTTTTTAAAAACCATTATAAAGTCAAAAAAAAAGAAAAGCGATTTTACTAATAGAAAATAGAAAGACAAGGATCTAATGTAATACTTATATGAAGGAATGTGGACAAGTATTATATGGCTTGTAGCACCTTAGATGTATGTAGGAGGATAAGAATAAGGCCTTGTGACCTTTCTAAAACAATCTTATATATTACTTATGAGCCTGCTTGAAGCTTGAATCTTTTTATTCTCACACAAGGTATCTTTAAGATAAAACATTTTTACTAAGTTTTTTCATTAATTACTTATTAGCTTTAAATTATCATAAATTATTTATAATAACTTAGATTTTGATATTTTTATATTATTAAAATATAAAAAATTACCTATTAAATTTTTTATTTTTACTTTTATTTTTTATTTTTTATTATAAAAAAGTCTAATAAATAGTTTGTAAAGTGTTTTATAATGTAAAATTGCTTGCTTGCAATTTTTTTGACTTGTTTTATATTATTCATTTCTATTTTTTGTTATTTTCTTCTTTGCTTCATACCACCCATTACAAGCAATTCTTAATTGATGCCATCTTGTAATTTGGATTTAGAGGTGGATTTTTCTCTTACAAAGAAGCTTTTAAAATCTAGGGAGTTAGTAAAAAATCCAAATATAGAAAAGAATGCCTTTAAATTGATTATAGGATTAAGTATACTTCAAATGAATTTAAAATTTAATTTTAATGAAAAAAAATTTAAGAGAAATTACCTTAACATAATCTCTACAACAAAATGGAATTGCATAACAAAAAAATAGATATATTTTGGAAGAAATTTGAATTATTATCACTAGAATAATAATACCAAGATATTTATAAGGAAAAGTTATAAGAACAATTAATCTTATTTAAAACTAATGTCTAGTAAAAAATGCTTTGATTTATGATAATTAAAATTATTTATTAGTAATAAATCAAACCTTCCATATTTAAGATTTTTTTATTTTGTGGCATATGAAGCAAAAAAAAAAAAAAAAAAAAAAAAAAAAAAAAAATCTATTCACCATTGAATGGTTAATAGAAGGATCTATGGATTATTTTTAATGTTGGATTATAATATATTATCAAATAATACAATAAAAAATAACATCAATATTTATTCAAATAAATTATCATTAATAGAAATATTAAAAAAAATATACAAAGGCAATAATGTAATAGGAGTTTTAGTATCTAAATTATTGA